GGAATAATCGACCTGGGATATGTTTGCATAAACTTAATCGAGTGTGTCGTATGAATGTGATGATGGATGTAAGGATGAGAGATTTTATTTCGGAAAGAAGAAAATCGTCGAGTGAAGTGTGAGGCTATTCTTGTCATCGAGCTGAATGTGAGATTGATGATGGTTATTTTCCTGTGAATACTAGAAAAGTTCTTTGATTCGATTGTGACTCAGTCTTCTGTCATAGCTATTTTTCTTTCGTTCTATTGATCAAAACCATGCTCATACTATATCCGTTGATGACAATTTGAGTGAGATGTTGAAACAGACATAGTAACTAAGAGAATGGTTCTGAAATGTGGAAAACGAGGTCGCAGCTGGAGCTATTAGATTAGAGCATCTTGAGGTGATTCCCGAACCACATATGAAGGAAACGATTTGATTTTATCATTTTTTTCTAGAATGAAACAAAGGTTGCGGAACGTAAAATTGAATTCACAGACGAACTTTTTAAGTTAATGGATGATGGTGTCACGGTTACTCAACAGATGCTCAAAGATCTTAGAGAAAAGTACAATCTTCCACCATCGGCAACATAACGTTTTTTCTTCCGTGTTGTTGTTTCTGCGTTCGGGTCCAAAATGAAGATATAATCTTTTGTTGACCTGATTTTATCGCAGAAAACAAATAAAAAAGAGAAGAAATATTCGTATTCCTACCCAGGTCAACAAATCCGATCGGATCTTACCGGATCCGACCATCTGACAAAATCTGATCGGATTCCTGTAGGATCTGATAAAATTCTGTATTGGATCCGATGGGATCCGAGTATGGGATTGTTCGACCTGGGTATTGGAATATCGGAGATTGAAAACGAATGGATGTAGATATACGTATAGAGTGAATGGAATTAATAGAGAGAGATTGTTGCTGCTGCTGTTCTTCTTGTCTATCAAATTGACCAAAGTCTTCCAATATATAATCGACATCTCGACGTTTGTCATCTTCAAGTCAAGATGACATTTGAAAATTTCGTCTGGATTAAACGTAAAACATCATGAAATGAAACGTCTTGAGAGAAGTTGTTACACGTATTTTCTAGCGTTGACCATCAATAACATCGTTTTCTCCAACATCATGATTCGAAGTCTCCGCAATGAAATACCTTTGAAAATATCTCTTCCGAAAAATCGATTTTCGATGTTTTTTTTGACCCTGCGGACATACAAGCAAACAATTTATGTTTTTAAGACTCTTCTCTACGAGAAACAGAATACTAAGTTGCCAAAAATTTAAGAAAATGACTCTTTACCAAATCCTCCAAAACTGAAATTTTGACCGTCCGAAGAAAAAAAAGAAAAGCGTATAATTTTACAAGCAGTTGAATCAATACCATATCCCGACTGTATACTTGGACATAGACCACTAGAATGACAGCTAATATAAGCGTAGCAACGGATGATGATAAGAAATGCATATAACATGAATTTCGTCTTAACTGTGGTCATGTAAATACAGAAATTTTTAATATGCAACCGCGGTTATACCTGTAATACGCCAATCGAAAGATAAACCAAACGTGCTATAATGATATTGATTGATTGATTTCATAGTATTTATTTCATTTTGAACATCTGATAAAAGTGATTGTACTTAATGATGACATTTCTGGTTTTAGTAACGTTATGCACTTCTAAAAGTGCTTTCAATTTTTTAATTATATAATGCGTAAAAAAGAATAATTTTCATGGTCAATGAACTTAATGGTGATATATATACACATAGATTGCTTTCAATTTATTATGAATTCAATTAAAACAGAATCAAAAGCGAACCGACACGATACGGTCGGATATCAACTGAGCATAAAAAGCGTGTGAAGTCAGTGAACATCGCAAACGGATCTGCGTATTCTGGGTGAAATTGTATGAACTATTATATAAAAGATTTTGATCAGGTTCTCTGTTCACGAAACATTGTACTTGTCAAAATAAATACCAAAATGCACTACAATGATCAGAGTTGAAATGTATCCAGTTAAATTGTAAAATAAATGGATAGTGAGTTTTGTTCGACTTGGTGTTAACGTTGTATATCATTGACCGGTAGCAAACGCAGTTGTTGTTGATCTACTAAACAAGTATTGAACTAATGCTATTCACAGTATAGATACAATTCGTCGTTGATAAACATGACTAACTGTAAGTAAAGAGAAAGGAAGCATTCATAAAGGTGAATCGATGCCATATATCAAGAAACACATAGTAAATAGTATATGAAATCGAACAAACTCTTTGTGAAAGAAGAATTTCCTAATATTTCAAGGCGTGTATTTATTTGAGTGATAAAAATACTTAAATGAGCAATTAGTAAATTCTATTTATTTTGCGTGTGGATGAGATTTACAATATTTTAGTCGGATAGAAATACTGATGACATGCTTGTCAACATAGTTCTTAAGAAATGATGGACAAGTGTACGTTGCCATTCTCTATTTTTCAGGATTGTCAGATAAACATATGCACCATATGTTGAAATATACAGACTTTTATGTATCGAATAAAGTCAATCTACAATTTTCATGACGTTCTTCTCCAGGAGGTATAAAATACGTTGTTTTACATTGACACGTGTGGGATTTCGTTCTTTTGATCATTTATTGACTATTGAACATACAACAACTATGTATGTCAGTAATGAAAAACGTTACTCTTATTGTATCTTTATCTTTTATGAACCGGTTGGTCATCTCGAGGGCATTATTTGCACTTAGTATATATTCATTTCCAATTCTTCATATCAACTATTTTTCTATCCTAACCATTCCATTATTTTCGGACACCTGGATTTTTATCGCTCCGCATACATACGATTTACTATTATTTCGAATAGATTATTGTTTATTTAAATATAAACGCATATTCAATAGCCTACAGAAAACAGAACGACCAATGGAACTAAGTAGTGCGACATTGGAACAATAATCCAATTTCTAACACCTATGTCATAACTTATTCTACTCATTTGGATCATCTAACCTTTATGAAATTGCGTCTTTCCTTATTTTATTTCAAATGAAACTCATCTCGTGCGTTTTCCACTAATCTTTCTGTAGGCAGTTATGAAAGCACTTTCATAATAATATACATTACAGAAATGTCATTTTTGCTCAAGCATTACATTTATGCTACGAATTAGAAAGCTAATGCATGCATTACTTTTCTTTTCATGGATCTTCGAACAAAAAAAATAATCATCATCATTAAAATTCGAACTGGAAAAAGAAAGAATCTCGTCATTCTTCTTGTTCTTGTGAAATATTCAACATGGATATGGATTATATTGCCTTACTTGCCTCTGCACGATCGAAATTTGCTCTATATGTTTCGATTCCAACCTGTTTCATTAGTATTATTAGTGAATTCCTCAGTCTATTGATTTTTCTCAGTCTGAAAACATTTCGTCAAAATTCTTGTTCATTCTATTTAATGTTTATGGCATTATTCAATCTCATTCGAATGACATGTAGTACATCATTCATCGCTATATCAATGGCTTTTTCAACAAATTTTACATCGGTTTTGTTGCTCTATTGTCAAATAAGAGCTTTTCTTGTTGCGACATGCAATTTATCAGCTTTAATATGTTTATGTTTATCAGTCATTGATCAGTATTTCGCCACATGTTTTCGTCCAACATGGCAACGATTTTCAAATATTCGCATTGCTCATCGAATGATGGTAATAATAACATTAATTTCATCATGTCATGCGATACTTTACCTTATCTATCTCAATCAATTATCACCAACAAATCCATCAGTTTGCATTTCTTCCAATTCAATCTTTTCTCAGTATCATGTCTATGGATTTTTCATCACATACGGAAATCTGTTTCCATTGATCGCTGTGACTTTTGGTTTATTAGCTTATCGAAATGCACGAAGTTTATCAACACGAGCAAATTTACTTGTTCGACGTGAACTGGATAAACAATTAACAACGATGGTTCTTGTGGAAATTTGTGTTTATGTTTGTACTTATACGCCATATTCAATAGTAAATACAGTTTCATCGTTAAATACAAATCGTGACCCAATTCTTCTTGCTAAATTAAGTTTAGCTAATGCGATTACGCTGACGATTAGTTTTCTAAGCAATGGAGTAAGATTTTGTCATCTTTTTTGCTTAAAAATCAAATTTTCTTTTGTTTAGAATTCGTTTTATACTTATATTTGCGTTTCGAAAAGATTTCGTCGACAAGCAAAATACGTTTTATATGATTTGTACATTAATAAATGTCGACCGAATCGAATTATGCCAGCTAATATTGAACATCAAGCAGACACAAGATGATCCATCTCCTTGAAAAGTACTTTCCCAACTCCGCATAAACTCTCCTGGATGAAAAGAGAATTTGCCGCAAAAAAGTCTACAAAAAAAAAGATTAAAAATTCGTTTGTGTCACGTCGAAGATCATCGATGGAGAAACTTTTCCTAATAAAACTTACTTTCTTTATAAATAGAGCAACTAAATAAACAATGACTATTTTCCTCACTTTTAACGATGAAAGATAAAGTCTCTCCCAATAGTATCTGCTTGTAATCGAGGCTGAACACAAAAATAGAGTAGTTCACTTTGCCTATATTTCTTTGCAATAATAAAAGATGAAACATTTAATAAAAGTTCTTTTATGTCGCGAGAGAAGAGACAGATTGATAAAAGTATTTTCATATGTATGTGTTCAACTCGTATACATTCATGTAATTTGAAAAAACATTAAACACAGACGTTTTTTTCTTTCTCTACTGTTTCTCCATTAGAGTGCAAAAACCGTTCAACCGTAAAGCAGCATGAAACATTGATGAGCGAAAAACAAAACAAGAGAAGCATTTATACGAAACAATATTACTTTTCTCCAATACGTAGACTGTCAATGAAAGTATTGAATATTTGTATTTTTGGATTGATAACGCATACATTCATATAAATCAACAATCAAATACGAAGACGAAGTTAACATGACGTTAATCAATCAAGGTACAAAAACTCAACAGTTTAAACCGGTTGGCTTAATCTTAATTATCATATCTTTTATTTTTCTACTGTATCTTGTTTATAACCTTCAACCCAACAATTTTCCCCCATTAATACATAGAACTTTGATTGAACGAACAAATTTCACAGGAATTGAAAACACTACGATTCGTCATGAATCCTTGAATACCTCTCAACATAAAATATCCATCAATTCATCTGACTACGATCAGCTCCGTGTACTTTGGAACAAACATCCTCGCAGTGTTATTGTAACGCTGATTCGTAGTAATGACAAATCGGTGGATCTTGTTATCAATATGATTCATTCCGTTATGATTCTTCATTCAACAAAAGATCAATTTCAATATCCATTTCTTATCTTTCACGATCAATTCTTTACTTCAGCAATGCGTCAACGCATTGTAACATGTATTCAAAATAATAAAAGAACCTTCTACGTTTCATTTATTCGCATAAACTTTCTGACGAATGTTCAATTACCCGACAAATTCATTCGACGGAAAGATATTGGATACCATCAAATGTGTAAATTTTGGTCGTACGATGTGTATTTTCATCCAGCCATTCGTCAAATGAATTATGATTATCTGATGAGAATGGATGGCGATTCGTATTTTTTAGATAAGACCAGAATTGATCTTTTTGAGCTTATGCAACGACAAAAAGTGGATTATACTTATATATCACGATATAGTGAAGGTAATGAAGCATGGTTTGAAATCGACAAACGTTTTACAAACATTGGCAAGCCTCGACAAAGTTGTATTTACAACAACTTTTTTATCATTCGATTACAATGGTTTTACAAATCCGAAAGAATCCAGGCGTTTCTGCAGGAATTAATTCGAGATGATTTCTTCTTACGGGAATATATTGGTGATGGATGTGTTCATGCAGCTATGCTCGATATTGATCGAAATGCACGAACAAAACAACTGAAATTACTTGAATATGGACACAATATTCATCTATATATAAGGAATGTAAGAGGTCCTTTTTATAATGCTAATCTACATGAATTCTATCAAGATGTCGCAGATTCATGTGATCATCTATTGTCTATAAATACAGAAAGAACTGGAATAAAGAAAGTAAAGATTTGATTGGAAAATAAATATTCTTCGGACGCCGTTCGGCACACTTTACCGACAGTCACATTTCTCAAATACATTTTTATCATTAAGGTGCCGGAGCATATCGATGCCCTCACCTCACCTCTCAATTTTACTAATATGCAGATATTTAATTCATTGAGAAATATTCATTTGCAATCAAACTATTATCATTGTAATAATTTATTTTTACAATCACTGAACCAAAAAATACCATCTACTAAAAAATTAGGTTCCACATATCAGGAGAAAAAGATGTTACTGATACTCAGAAAAAAGTCTGTTAGTCAAATATTCAAACAATTGGATGATGTCCCTATGATCAAACAAATTTTACCTTTCGTTTCCTTCCGATAAAATAACTTCCATTATGACCATATTTCGAATATGATTGATGATTTCTCGCGTCATAAATCGGTTCAAAATGATCAGTAAACCATTTCCAAACATAAAATTTGATGTGAATAGGATGTAACACGTGACCATCGTACTTTGCTGTGTTAAACATATAATCCCACCATCGTTCACCAAATATTAAAATTCCATTTGGTCTCAATGAATTATAAAGATTCTGCAAGATTTGAAATGCATTTTGTACATGTTCGAGAACATTTATCATGAGAATTGTATCAAATGCATTCAGATAAATATTCATATCTTCTGATGGTGCCGAAACAATTGTTGTTGGAATCGAACTAAAACCTTTCAATGAACCATTTTTATACGAACAATATGTGACTCGTTTGATGTAATCATTAGCATTTGGATCCCAGAGTGTTAATTTGGTGATGTTGACTTTTTTGTTGGGAAGACGAAGAATTGATAATGTTTGAGTAAATGGCCCACAACCCATTTCGATCATTTCACCGAGATCGTTCGGTAATGTTTTGTAATTATCAAAACCAGCTAAATGATCATTCCACCGATCATTGGATTGTGTGGTCCAAACTGATCTTTCCGTTTGGAGAGCGTTTTTCCATCGTGTAGCTGGAACTTGACCAATTCCATAAATTGGATGAATGAAACAAGTATCATCATTATTGTCGAGACATGATTTCCGTTTAGGTTGATAAGAGATTCGTTCACAATCGATCCCATCGTAATCAACTTGACAGAAGCATTTGCCGATGAGACAAGTGCCGCGTTGAGAACAATCATGGTGTTGACATGTCAAATCTCGTCGTGTTGGTGTTAGATCAAGAATAGTCCAATCACTGGAAAAAAACCAATACGCAACAAGGAGTGTTAATACGCCAAGAAGAACGAATACGGTGCGTGACACTCGCATATTTGATTCGTTATAAGAAGAATCTCGAGATATTTACAATCACTCTGTCGATAAAATAAAACGATGTGCCGTAGTATAATTATTCTCTCTCTCATATGAGTATAAAAAAAAGAATACTCATAAATAGCAGATTTACGTAGGTATATCATGCTCCTTGAAATTTATCGCGACTGATCATATATTTGCTAACGTGTTACTTCTATCTGATCAAAAAGAATATATGAAGTAAAACCCGAAACCAAAACGCACAGTGGATTTAGAAGAGAAATCCAATATATTTCTCTGTTGGATCTTTTTTCTCCATTCTGTTAGCACACCGTTGATCAAATGTTTGACATAGAGATTTATTACACATTCATAAGAGCAATCACATCTTTTTTTTCAAATAAATAATAACTCTCCATATTAAAAAATCATCATTCTCTAACGAAAGAATACAAAAGTTGATCTAAAACTATTCCATCTCTATTAATAACCGATTTTCTCAATCGTCCTTCAAATTGAAATTGGGCTTTTTCCAAAACCTTTGTCGATGCCAAATTAGAACTAAATGGCTCGGCATACAGTCGTTGTAGATGAGGAAATTTCTCAAACGCATATTTTCTTAATAAAACCACCGCCTCAGTCATAATCCCTCGATTCCAATAGGATTCACCCAACCAATAACCGAGTTCCGCCGTGCAGTTATGAACATCGTTTCCAAATGAAATCGCGATTCCACCTACGGCTTTCTCGTCGACTTCAATAGCCAAATATAACCTTTCGGTGCAGGTCAAACTTGTGACAAAATTTAGCCATTCATCTGCTTTTTGCTCTGTATACGGATAAGGAAATTGATTTCGTAAATTGATCGCAATTTTATAATTATTTCCATTTTCGATCAACGATTGTTTATCTTGAGATTTCCATGGACGTAAAATGACTTTATCCCCAACTAAACGAATACAATCTTCACTTGCGTTTGTCATTGTTAAAAAAGAAAGATAAATTACATCAGCCAAACTCAACCCCATATAATATATATCTCACTAGATGTCGCTTGTTGTATAGAACTTGCGTATATTTTCAGGTAGATTTTTATCTCATCTTTCACGTTACTCGATATTGTTATGATGTCCTTCTTAATACTTTGGTTTGCTGATGTCATTACTGACACATAAATCTGGATAATCATGATAAAATACTTTTGCCTGAAGATGGCATATCTAAATATGAAAATGAGGTGAACACGGGCGCATTTCTTTTCAGTTATTAATTTTGACATAGTTTAAAACACATAATATGTTGAGAGACAAAATTGGAACATTCTTTCGATCTCCTAACGATGGTGACACCTGAGCTTCTCATCTCAATTTCTCAATGGTTGACAATTATTCTCGGTATTGGTTTCATTATTTTCGGTCTCTTTGGTTCACTGATGAACTTACTGATCTTTTCTCATCAACGATTTCGAAATATTCCTTCAAGTCAATATATTTTAACTCAATCGATTTTCGATATGATCACTTTGTGTGTTCCCCTTCTCGTTCAAGTGATTGTCAGCGGTTTTGTCTGGCCGTACTTCTTTACCATTCAATTCCTCTGCTCATTTCGCGGTTATTCTTCAATAGTTTCAACACAAACCTCTCTCTATTCGAAATGTTTAATGGCTTTCGACATCTGGTCGTCAACATCTCGACATGCCTCAATTCGTCGATGGAATACTCTCGATCGAGCACGTTTCCTTACCTTGATTAATATTCTCATTTGGGCGTTGTTAAGCATTCCCTATGCAGTTTTAGGTAAAATTTTATTCATTAGAAATGTCTGGCAATGCGCTGTGATCGATCCGACGTTTTTAAATTATCATGGATACTTCTTCATTCCGTGTTTAACTTTATTCTTGCCAGTGTTGTTACTGTCGTTCTTTGGATATTATAGTTATGTACATCTGATGACATTGAATGCTCTGCATCAGAGAAGGCAACTGAAACGGCAATTTGTCCGGATGGTTCTGATACAGATTTTTGTTACAATTATTTCATTTGTTCCTTATACTTTACAATATACCTATTCAACTGTGACAGCCAATTGGCAGAAAAATTCACAATGGCTCGCTTTCGATAGTCTGATTGTTCAGATTAGTCGCATCGGGTTCTTTGTTAATAACGTGATTGAATTTTATATTTACGTAACTCAATCACGCGATGTTCGATTAACTCTTCAACAAATTTTCAAGAATTTCAGCCTTATTCGTCGACACAATAATGTTCTTCCTACGAGCATGCCAATGGGTAATACAAACACTAATTGACAAAAACTATGAAGCTATGTAGATTGATGTTGTGTGTTTTGTAAATAAAGTCATCGTGAATTTATTTGTTTATCTCAGCTATTGTATCCGGACGGGTTTGATTGTCACCAAGATTAAGAATGACAAGTGATTGTTCGAAAGAACAAATGTGAACATAATGACGGGAAAGTGGAAAGAAAGAACACCTCGTTGTTTATTAATGCATTGATTAGATTCCGAGCTCAAGCAAGAGACAAGCATCTGAGGGACGATGAGAAATTGTTTACGGTACTGTGTTATGGTTTGTAATGCACTGACGAGATGTTTTGCTCCTTTGTCTTGGATCAAATTACGTACGAGATCCAATCTGGTGAGTGGCTATGATAATGAACCTATATAGAAAGTGAGAAGAGAATAAGAGTCGCATGTTATTATGAGATAATTCAGTAGTGAGATGAAATGCTCCTTAATCCCCAATAGGATTATACCAAAGGTCAAATCTAGTGAGTGCTTAAGTGAAAAAGTACAATATGAAAGAGAAAGATAAATGAAAAGGATTTACTCTGTTGGATTTTAATGCACCAGCAAGACATTTCGCTCTAAGTTCTCCGATTGAACTATTATTATAAGTGTGAGTGTAGTTATCATCTACATAGAAAAATGAAAACGAAACGCAGGAATGAGGAGAAGTTCTATATCTTGTCGTCAAAAATCAGTTGTACATCTCGCTCTGTTATATTCAGTTGGATTTGTACTCAGTCTGAGTGTCGGCAGTGTCTGTAAGACAAATATATAAAGATTAATGCAACACATATTTGAAAAGAAAATCTAAATAATTCGATTGCCTTCGATATTCAATTCGGTGTATATCTATGCGAATAATAACGATTTCCTGTAAATTAAAACAAAATGATTCTTACCGTGCTGTTCTGTAACCCTAACACAAGGCATTTGAATCTAAGAGTAACAAATATAACATTATGAAGATCGATTACAGGCAATTCTAATGTAAAATATCTCGTATGAATATCAAATCTAAGCTAAGATTTCTTTTCACCGGCTCTTTTGAGTATAATTCGTTTCATGAATCGCTACACGACGGTTTTGAAAGTATATAATTAAATCATCAGAATTAGAAATCTGCTATTCAGTTGTATAAATTACCACTGTGTAATCGAATTTTCTCAAGGCGAGATCAAAAGTGAGAAATCATTTGTTTTTTAATTGGCCAAAATGATGCTTGAAAGTTAACAATCGCATCTAGACTAAGTTCGCGTCGGCCAGTAGGATAAAAACATCTTCTTGAACGATCAGAGAAGAAAGATTGAAACATTTTAAAATGCCGAAGCGTTTGTTGAATGAATTTTTCTCATAAACTGCCACAAAAGATCGGATCAGATCTCTCTCGGTTTTGTGTCACTCATGTCCGATGAGTAAGACACAGCGCCAAAACAGCTAATGTGAACTGGAGAAATTAATTGCGCATAGAACTGATCGACACACAATGTTGACAGCAGAGTACTAAAAGTACTTGAGAAATCTTCGATTGTTGGGCAACATCGAAGCACATATTGCAATGGTGAGAATAGGGACAGTGACCGGTTGACAGATGGTCTATAATTGACACCGTCATTAACTTTGTTGAAATGTAAGTTTTTAAGAGCCGGTTGAGCAATAATCCTTGAGAACAGAAGTACGAGTGTACTGTTCTCAGGAATATCCTCGTTGAAATCGATTGGCAATGATATGACACGATATGTTCTGGGTGAATTAGACTTAATACTAATTGTAAATCAATTATTGAGTCTGAAGTCGATTTCACCTGTTATCGGGTTATATCTAAAAGCCACATCGAATTGTAGGAAGATCGAGATAATGAACGGTGTGATGGCGAAGTTTATAGTCAATGAAGACAGAGGCGATATATTTAACACGAGAGTGTATAGATATTTCGATGATAAATGTTCTCTAAAGAGAACACCCTCAAATGCGTGAAATATTGTTTTGACGCGAGGCCAGGAAAATCAGGATAAACTATTATTATGAATGTGTAAATAAAAGGAGTAATATTACCTGGTGCACGTTTGATTTATTTTTCTATTTCTGTTGACATTGGAAAAGCGATTGTACTTGTCTGTCGCACCTTTGATTCAAATGAGAGTGAACTGTTTTCGAATTTTACCCAAGGAAAGCGAATTGAATCAACAGAACGAAAGATAAATAAATTGATTTGGCACATTCTTCGTGAAAGAAAAGTACAACATATTTTTTTGAAAATGTATTTTTTTGCTACAATTCATTTAATTTTCATCTTCATAAATCGTTCGAAAGATATTTTCATATATTATGTAAGAAATATTTCAGATAGAAATATATATGAAGACGATCTTCATGAGACGAACGCTCTATTGGTCTGTGCGTACGTATACATATGTTTTTATTCTTGTGATCATACTGATATTTATACTTTGGACCGATGTATCTTTGAAACCATCATCTTCTTGTCAACAAGTGAATATTTATGGGAAAATCAATGAAAAACGTTGTTATCCATTGTTGGTTAACTTTGCTGATGAATGTTGTGCTCAATCACAAGAAGACAATTGCGCGACTGGTCTTCGTTTTGGAATAAAACAATGTGTGAGATTAACTATGAATATATTTAATAAAGACAAGATATTCATTCGTCGAAATCGAGAGATTCTCAGTTATCGTCGAGGTGCAGGATTTTGGATTTGGAAGGCATATATTCTTTGGCATGAATTATACGTTGCACGTGAAGGAGATATCATTGTTTATTCAGATTCAGCTGTTCATTTCATTGCAGATATCGATCTTCTTGTGACATTGATGAAAAAACAAGATATTTTAGTGTTTAAACAAACAAATCATAGTGTATGTTTTAGGAGATGTTAATTCACATCAGTTTACTCCTCTCGTATAGGAATGCGCGTATACAAAGCGAGATGCTTTTATCCTTCTTAATGCTGATACTCCGGAATATGTTCATTCGATGGCTTCTGTCGCTTCTTACATTATTGTTCGTAAAAGTATCGATAGTTTCTTGTTTGTATCAGAATGGCTGACGTATTCACAAGATAATCGAGCATTGACTGACGAGCCGAATATTTTAGGCAAAGCTAATTATGACGAATTTATCACTCATCGTCATGATCAATCGATTCTGGGTATTTTAGCGAAGAAGTGGCGATTGAGAATGTACACAGATCCCAGCCAATTTGGAGAGAATTATTCACGACCATTTCCGACAATATTTTGGCATCATCGTTCAAAAGACTAAATTCAAATTTGAAGATAACACGTTTTGAAAATATGACAGTCAGTTGTGTGTTCAATTCACATGATTAGTTAAATTTCATCTTAACATTCATTTACGAACCCTTAAACGTCTGTCTAGGGTAATCGGATATATGAACCTCATAGGAAATTAAGCTCGTCTTGAAAAGTCTGACGGGCTTTCTTTCATATTAATAAAAGCTACAGAAATAATAGAACACAAGGAGACAAAATGAAGTTCTTTTCAACCATCGACATTTAAAATAACCAAAATTGAACATTGCGAATTCAAGGAAAATATTCACATGTTTCATCATTAGCAAAGTAGCGACACATAGTCGACGGAGCATTTTGTCGAAAGATAGTTGTGTCGTTTTTATTTTGTTCCAGTATAGAGACGAAAATTGAAGCGATTTCATTTTCATCTGTTTTACTCATAATTAAGAGTATTTACTAGATTTTAACATTGTTCTAGGTAGTGTGAAATACACAGAGCTGAAAATTATGCTTCATTAGAGAAAAAATAGTGATAAAAATATGTGATTAAGTTGTTGATCTCAGTCTATTGTGCAAGAAACCTTATGCAATAGAGTATTTCCCCGATATGAAGTATTCTATGACCTGTCTTTTGTTGACAAGATGGATCTTGATCAATTATTCTTGGCTTAGTCGTGAGAAGCGCCAAAGAGTACAAATATTAACGTCCATTCAATATGATGTAATCATTGAAATATTTTGATAAAAAGTTCACTTAAGGGTTGTTGATTCTTTTCAGCATTTCATATTCCCTGAAAAAACTCGCCGTTAATTCTCTACAGAGTGACGCAGATAGTTTTCTTCTCACGGCATCCATTGAAAATATTAACATACTTGTCAGTGCTTTTCCTTCGAATGTTGAACACGCATTAGGATTACATCAGAAAGAAAGTTCGCACTCATGTCATTTGTTAATATAAGAAGTAACCTATCAGAAGGGTAAACAAAATAATATCTAAGTTGACTAAGAAGCTTTCTTTTTCATTATTTAGGATCATTCATATTTTATTTCAAAGTTAAATGACACCGTTCATATTCAAATTCATAGCTTGCAATAAATATCATTCTCTTTAGAAAAAAAAGAATAAAAAGCGTTGCCTTTGCACTCTTTAATCTCTCATAGTCATGTCGACGATCACGACACTCGTTCTTATCCAACAAATGATTACCCGATATGCTTTACCGATAATTCTGACATTGGGTAATATCGGTAATTTATTCACCATTGCAATTTATTCCCAGAAGAAACAACGTGGACATTCGTGCGCCATTTATCTCATAGCAATTTCTTGTTTTTCGTTAATCGGCTCGAACTGGGCGATCGTTCCAACTGTTTATGCTTTAGATCATTTCGATCTTGTCAGTAATTCGTTAGTTTTGTGTCGAATTCGTGGTTATATGATTCACACGTGTTCAATGTCATTTCGTTACACTCTCATTCTTTTTTGCGCGGATCGATATGCCTTCTGCAGTCGACAGGTTTTCATTCGAGCGTTAAGTCGACCACAGATCGCTCTTCGTTCAGTTGGCATTTTAAATCTCGTCTGGTGTATATTGTCGATTCATTTACTTATTTTCGAAAGTATTGAAAACCGACGTTGTGGAGTTTATGGAATCTATGGCCAAATCTTTGGATATTATGTCGCGATTTGCACGGGTTTGATACCGATTATTTCGATGACGTGTTTTGGTTTATTATTACGAAGAAATTTGAATAGACTACATTTGCAAATTCAACCGCTTTCAGGATTGAACCGATTGAATAAACGCGATATTTCATTCGTAAAACTCGCTCTCACTGAGATAATTGTTTATATGATTTGCACAGTGATGTATCCAGCAGTAACGATCTATTCTCAAGCGACATCATCGATGAATTCGAGTAAAAGTGCGGAACAAAAGCAAATTGAGTCGTTTATTAATTTCCTCGCCATGTCATTACTTTTATATTTGAATTATAACACAACATTCTATGTACATTTGATTATCTCGAGGGCATTTAGAAGAAGATTTTCGGATTTTATCATGACATTGATCCGAAAAGTAACGAATCAAACCGAGGTTTATCGACAAAATTCAGTAGTGATCACTTCAAATGTCAGATAGCAACAAAAAAAGAGCAGTTAGGATGTAAAAACATGAACCAATTGAGACTCATTAACAGAAATCTATATAAACATCTTAGCCAATGCATTTAAAAAGCATTTTTGTTTGTCGTTGTAAAACAATAACGCACAATTAATTCATAATAAAATAATCTTTGAAAAAGAATTTATTTGCCGCTCCGATTTCAATAGCGAGTAGTTTCATAAAACACACGGGCAACTGTGAACAATTATTTTCTGATTAAGTAAAGAACAAGTAAAACTTACAAAAGATCGGTTGAAGAAAATTTGAATTTGTTATACACTTTTACGACAATCGCACACTTAATATTCGCGTATTTTTACACAGTTTCATAGATAAATAAAAGAAAAAAAACGAACAAAGTTAAGTTAAAATAAATCACAAATAAAAAAGATATGAGAGATATATGTCAAAATAGTTAGTGCCAAATCTTCGTTTAAGGTCCTGTATTCAAAAATATAGTGTAACTATCACCACCAGTAACGATGACATCCGGTCGATTATCTCCATCGACTTTCACAGCAGTAATGTGCGCTGGTCCGTATGTAAGTGCAAAAAATCTAGTCGCTGGATAAAAAGTGCCATCACCCTTTCCCAGAAGTACACCCACTTGTTGGGTTCCAGAATAGTCAAAAGCAACTACAGCGTCGAGTATACCATCTAAATCCATATCAGCAGCATCTATTTTGCTCGGCCCGTTACCACCTGCTAGAAATGTGTTCGGTGTCCCGAAATTTCCATTGCCGTCGCCCAAAAGCACACTCAATGAGTGAGTATTAGGAACGGTTAGAATAAGATCGAGGTAGTTGTCAGCATTGAGTTTGGCCACAGCAACTGTATTTATTGATGCTGCAACTGAGATAGTCGTCGCCGTTCCAAAAGTACCATCAGATTTTCCAAGAAGAATGCTTATTGTACCATCATTTTCATTAATGACGACAAGATCTGCATAGTTATCACTATCGAATTTGCCAGAAGCCATTTTTCTCGGATTTGATCCAACAGCAAAGATTCCAGGAGAATTAAAACTGTTAGCATTATTTGCTATATACAAATACACCTTGTTGTCAGCATAGTATGACACAGCAAAATCTAGTTTTCCATCCCCGTTGTAATCGGCGGGTATAACAGTCGCTTTTCGTTTTCCATCATTCTGGTCGTATGTGAGCGTAAAAGTGCCAGTACCGCTTCCTTGAAATAACCTTAGGTATCCATAATCATCAGAGACTGCAACGTAATCTAAATTACCGTCTCCATTAAAATCGCCGGCTGCACCATATGCTGGATGATTGGCAGTATTAAGAGTACTTAGAGATGTCATCACTCCAGTACCATCACCCGTAAACAATTCAGCACGATAATTATGATATTCGCTCAGGATAAAATCCATTTTACCATCATTGTTGAAGTCACCAGCGGCTATTGAAGATGAGCCCCACTGTGCGGTGCCAGGTGGTTTACCCACGAGAGTCGGAGGACTCAGTAGAGCTAAAACGTGGGACAGAATTGAGCGAAGATGTTGAATATACCGCACAAGAAAAATGTCAGTCTATTTTATTTTTGAGCTAACTAAGTCAACGGAAAACCCCTCTATAGTTCGAACGACCTTGCTATATATTCAAGATCAATAAAAGCATTGACTCCATCTTGGGACTAATAACGAGCATCTTTCAATGCACCATTCGTCATCGCACATTTATCATTACATCTCAAGTATTCTCTTTCGAACATGAAGCATAGTCAATATGCTCAAAACGATTTATTACTCAATCATTTATCATTATCCTTCCCGAAAATATGCGTTCGAAAACACACCCACTCATATGACAATCATTGAGCAACATCGATTTCGAAATCTGTGTTCACTTCGTTCTATCCGAATACATACAAATTTCACTTACCACATCGTCCCGAGCTACAAGCGTTTATAGTACAATCTGAAGCAACGCTACATAATTTGTTATTGCCGCATTTTTGTCCGGCTGCACAAGGTCCTCCACAGTCTTGATCAGTCTCACCGTTATCCTTGACACCATTACCACATTGACTCGCTACGAAAAACGGCCTTTCAACCACAAAATTCATTACAAAGCATGATGCACTTACGCAGGCAAATTTGTGTAGCGCACACGTTACTGCTACAATCAGCAGATACAGTACACTGCGATGCGTCAGCACATTTCTTTCCGGCTGCACATGGTCCTCCACAATCCACTCCAGTTTCACCGCTGTCTTGAACACCATTACCACATTGACTCGCTACAAAAAACGGCCTTTCAGCCACAAAATTCATCACAAAGCATGATGCGCTTACGTAGGCAAATTTGTGTAGCGCACACGTTACTGCTGCAATCGGCAGATACAGTACACTGCGATGCGTCAGCACACTTTTTTCCGGCTGCACATGGTCCTCCGCAGTCTGTTCCCGTCTCGCCACTATCTTGAACACCATTACCACATTGACTCGCTACAAAAAACGGCCTTTCAGCCACAAAATTCATCACAAAGCATGATGCGCTTACGTAGGCAAATTTGTGTAGCGCACACGTTACTGTTACAATCAGCAGATACAGTACACTGCGATGCGTCAGCACACTTTTTTCCGGCTGCACATGGTCCTCCGCAGTCTGTTCCCGTCTCGCCACTATCTTGAACACCATTACCACATTGACTCGCTACAAAAAACGGCCTTTCAGCCACAAAATTCATCACAAAGCATGATGCGCTTACGTAGGCAAATTTGTGTAGCGCACACGTNAGTTATAGAAGGTCTTTCATCGCCGAATCATCGTTGAAAATCTATCAGGAATAGTAACTGGCTAGAGTAACTCACATAGTACTTGATGGTGCAATACACTGTTGAGTCCGACGCATTCCGACAGTCGGATTATGTCGGATCCAACAGGTCCAGGTGTCGGAAATATCTGGATCCTGTTGTCGGAATCCTGGATATTCCGGCGGCAGGATGTAAGCGGAAACTGAAGGATGTGCACGGAATCCCATCGTCGGAATCCTATCGGATCCGACTGTCGGATGTTGACGGATTGTTTAGGGATCCGATAGGATCCGGTAGGGTGGTTTCGACCTGGGTATTTTTGGATTACTGGCCTTTGATATGCGACAGTCAACCGAGTGTGTTTTTACTTTTTCGTAATCAACTCTTCTATGTAGCCCTCCTCTCAGGCGCAGATGAAATGTTTTCTTCATTTCTGTCACGTCCCTGCCCCTTCACCCCTCCTCCAGCCAACTTCGAGCCTCAGGATCCCTCCCAAATGATGTTTCATGAAGTTTTGAGTATTTTCGAAAAAATGTTTTTTTGACCTTTGACCCCGACCCTCACCTCCCCTCGGCCAAGACCTAACCTCAACACCCCTCCAAAACCATGTTTTATGAAGTTTTGAGCATTTTCAAAAAAATGTGTTTTTAACCTTTGACCCTGACACAAACAAACAGACAAACAAACTTTTTTTTCATATGACCCTCCTTTCAGTCGAGGGAATTTAGAGTTTATACCGTAGTCAATGTCTTATATCAAATGATATAAAAATGAACGAAACCGGAGTGGACACATGTGGATGTTCCTTCATAACACAAATACCAGTTAGATGGCTTAGAGAACCTAATCGATTTTCAACGAAAACAATAACAATTTCGACGATATAGCATCCATTAAACTTGATATTCTATGTAAGTTATGTACATCACATGTATGCCTATGTGGAATAACTTTAATAGAGGAAAATAAAAAGCTAGATCAGATACTATGTCAGCAAGTTTACAAACAATCATTTCGCGAAGGAGATCAATATTAGCTTATGTTGAATTTTGAATATGATTCTTACGGTCTAGTTTACATTTTACAACAATCGTTAACATAATTTTCCCGTAAATCTTTCGGCTTCGGAATTTCTTCCGGGTTTGAAACTCTTTTATTACAATTATATTTCATTTGTTTTCACTTTCTAAAAAGTCGCAAGTGATTTTATACAGATTCATGACAGTTTCATACTTTCTTCTCTTGACTTTCGTAAAAGTTTATTTTAATTTGTGACTTGTATTCATTTTAAACATTCGAACTAATGTGAATTTACATTATGAGGCTACTATTACGTATAT